AGTAGTTTTCGCAAACTTTTTTTATCTCCTTCAAATCTCAGTATTTGAACGCGTACAGCGTAGGTACAAAAAGTAGCAGAAAACAGTGTTGCATATATCTCGTTTTAAACCGTTAAGGTGTTTTATTTATAGAATATCCTCGCTTTTGCAGATTCTGTACAAATGTACACCCATGACGAAATTATTACTTTTTCTTGTACATTTTAGATACTCGACTGATTATTACGTTAACTATACCTTACAATCCTGCCGAGTTCTCTTTCACGGAATCTATTTCCACAATGGAACTTTACTAAGACACGCTCAAAGCGCTATTTTAATACATGTGGGCCATAAAACTTGAAACAGATTATATTCAAGGTCTAACGTCTCTCGACAGCGTCTCCACAGTTCATAAGTCATGATAAAAAACATATCGCAATGACTACGACAAAGCACTTTTTGATAAAATATTCAAGTATTTGTCTATCTATTCCTAGTTGAAGGAAAAATACTGTAACATTATCGCACTATATTGTTTACTGTTCCTAGTATTAAATATTGTCTATAACCATGCAATATGTATATTGCATAGTTATACTTAATTTTAAATTTTATTGACAAGAAATATGGTAATAGAAATAAATCCCTTTTAACGGTTCAAAACGTGAACTATATTAGTTAACTTAAACTGAGATGATAAAGATGATAATTCGGGCAGTAAATCAAATTAAACTAAAAAAGGTAAACTTAAACTGTTAAAAGTATTGCATTAAAATGTGCTTATGCTTATACTACTGACAGTATTTGGTTGCGATGTTAAATTTAATAGAATACATATCTTCAAATTATTAAAAAGTAATTTATACATTACATTAAAGGATTAATAGAATTAATTCAAACTCGAAAAACTAAACATAAAACCGTCTAATTAAGTCATTCCAGTATTGTATAGATTCATGAGCAATTATTTTTGTATCATACATTTGTCGACTGTAATTGACAAGGCCATAAAAAAGTGCGTTATTCATTCATAAAAATACGAAGAGTTAATTACATACAGAGTATACGAAATGTAGGAAGATAAAGAGCCCTTAATTACATATTTTAAAGACGGGTTGCAGTGGGGAACACGTTGTCAAAACAAAAGAAAATCGACGGTTTGTACTGGTCAGAACAGTAAATTGTACAGATATTTTTCAAATTATAGCATTCTTTACAGCAATTTTTGTACTGTACGCTGTATAATTAGATCTCCGATATGAATACTAAAATATTAAACTTACATCGCGTCAGCTCGCGTGTTCTAGAAGTTGAAGAATAAAAACATATGACGTAGTTTTTAGAATTGTCTGTAGTTTACTCGAGTCGTGCACATTTAAATAAAACACTTTTCACGGTTTAAAACATGAAGTTTATTAGTAAACTTATTTTTAACTACGACCCGATGTTTCCAGCTTTGCAGCAGCCATGGTCACAAGGGGAGTTTCCTTGCGACCACAGCTAAATCATCGTAAAATACTTCTCTTCTGGATTTTTCCAGAACGGAAGCAATTATTTTACCAGAACTTCTGTTAACATAAATATTTAGATACCTTATCTTATCTATAAAATATATTACTAGATGTACCTATTTTGAATAAAATGCAAAGTATGTTAGTTACTGTTTGAGTAAGTTATCTTGTTTATCTAAATATAGCAATTATTTTTGTGTTTCAGTTTATGTAAAGTTTTGGCAGAGACTCAATATCATTATTATGGTATTAGTAAAAGCAAAAAGTGCAAAATTATGGCCTAGATGAGTCAGTGATCTAGTGAGTATGTGGGTTCGAATTCCGTCCGTGTCAACGAACTATTTCAACATAAACGACTTATATTCCAAATTCCTTATAATATATTTAAAATAAGTCATATTTCAGTTTTTAAACAAATATACAAAGACAGTAAATAATTAAAGTTTTGTAAAAGTTTCTAATCTTCTTAATACAAGTGCTTAAAAGAGTAGCGCAAGGAAGTTCTCTGGGTCTCCCACTCCTTATTTAATCAAGTTGTAATAAAATAATGTGTATTGATCTATAAAAATATTTTATATATGATCATTTTAGATAAAATACAATGTAATAAAATAAATGACTATCCTTAACTTGTACATTATACGTATGGTAAAGCACAAATGCAAGCTGTGCATTTCGCACAGACAAGCTGTACAGTGTACAATGCTATAAGTAAAGCTACATAAATAATAAATCTTTTGACTCTGTTCGAACTAAGTTCTTTGAGTGACATCACCTTTTATGAGGCTTAGCCTTGACAGTTATAGATAACCCACCATTATCAACGTAGACCACAAGTCGAAATAAAACCGGCCATTAGAATCTTTGCGTTACAAAGTTTAATCTTTATTTCCCTCACTGGAAGGTTAATGAACTAATCTAAGAATGTACCTAATGCAATTATAAGGTATTGTTAAGTAATCTATTCCGGATAGAATCTTAAAATTGACTAAATAGTTACTTTAAAGTATCATAAAAAGATACCAATTCAACCAACCAAACGCGACAATATATTGTTGATTGAAGATATTTTCTTATGAAAATTAAAGTTGATGTTTGTAATAAGTTTGCAATTATATTTATTACATTACGATATAAAATACATATCAAAATAATGACGATTTCATGCTATTTGTCGAACCTAACCTAACCTATAAGCAAGTTGAATAATTAATTACGAAAAACCAGCGATAGACTGCACGTGTTAATATAAAAATAATATATTATAAGAATAAATGTTTCGAAGAATGCATTATTTCATTTAACGCTTAAATGCAAGTTACGATTTAAAACGCGATATATTTTAGTTAAACTTATTTGAAAATTATTTTTACTGGAGTAAACTTCAGACAGTATTACATAATTTCATGTCAGTACGGGACTGTCATCGGTTTGAAACCTGTTCGTGTTGTAAAAAATATCAATATCAATCTGAAAATTGAAACAATGTATTTGAAAATCCCATCTTGTTTAATATAGTAACAAGCAGGTTCCACAAACCAGTGGTTCTAAACTGACCAACAGCTGCGACTTGATTTACGGTTCTAACTATAAGCATATCACGTTTAGTTTAATTGGCTATCAATTTCGACTTACAAATGCGTGCTGACGCAAGCTGAACTTTAACTTGTTCCGATAATATTATTTGCTGGGATGTAAAAATAATTATTATAATTGGAAAATTATTAAAGTCAGTCTTCTCGAACTGAATGTTAAAGCAAATTTTTTTAAAGTGACATACGAGGTATGGCCCACACAGCAGCTGTGGTCACAGGGGACTTTGTAACTTTGAAACCTTGCGTGATAGTAGACCTTCAAAACATTTTAAAATATATATCGAAAAAAAGTAATACATGGTTCCTCGATTCATTTAAGGCTACACGCTGACACTATGTTTAAGTAAGTAATTAGTATGTATATAGTATTTGAAAGCCTGTTGATGATTACAAAGCCACGCAATTAGCGGATTTAAATAATTTAGTTATTCAGTTTGTTGGTATATTAGGTACGTAAGTATTCAGTCAGTACAACAATAAAAGTTACAACGACTGTGACTTACTTACCGTATGTACTTTAACAGTTTTAATAATGGAACATCAAACTTGAAGTAAGATAACATACCTGTAGACTCAAAATATAAAAAAATAAATAAGAAAAATCTTGCGCACACGGTGAAATTATAAACGCTTACTGCGCGCTTACAAGAATTCTAAGACGTCCCAGGTGCCAGGCACTTAGCAATGCAAGTGACGATTGATGTGTTCTGTTTACTCTGCGTTTTATCGCAGCATTTTAATCAGCGTAGCGAAGCGATGCTAATCAATTATGCCTGTTTATAGCTGAGATAGCGGTATACGTTTTTCGCTTAACTGGTAAAGGCAGTTCGTTAATAGAAGCGATCCAAGGCCGTCCACCTCATGGTTTAGTGTGGGTTAGCATAGGGCCAATATTCGCCATGTGGCTAAGCGACGCACGCGCATAGGACCTGCGATCAGACGCACGAGTTGATAAATACATTGTAGTGTTTGCGGAGGCGCGAATACTTGCGGCTGGCATTTAGTGATTCGTGTGTTTGTGCTGAATTAAATGGATAATGTAAATTAAGTGATTGTGCGGTACGAGTTTAGGATATATCGGTTTTAGGTATGTTTGAATTAAGAATTTCGGTGATTAGATGTTCTTTATTCAAATTTAAGTTACGTTTATTAATAAAATAAAATAATAAAAAATAAATGAGCAATAGATTTTAAAAATCTTGAAAATGAGATATGTAACTTAAAAGCTGTACTAAAAGAAAATTAACATATAAGTGTATAGATAAAATAAAACATTAAACGTTAAAACTGCGATAGACACTAAACTAAATATGACCCGACGCGACGACTTTACAGCCGGGAAAATAAGTTAACTGAAATACTTCGCGCTTTGAACCTCGGGAACTGTTTTATTTAAATTTGGAATACTTCCTTTCATAACATATAATACTACGGGTTACACGTTTTTCACTATATTATAATTATAGTGATATAACTATAAAGTCAAGGAAAATACAAAGTATTTAACTATCCATAAAATAGAAACCTTGAAGTTGTTAAAATCTATACGGTAATAAATCTTTGTGTCAATCTATTATCTACCTAAACCAATTTTTATGTTTCAACATTGTAGACCTACCAAAGATGTACTTTACCAGTTTTAATAACAGCAAAAAAAATTTAACAAAACATTTTAACTATTCCCCGTGACCCAGCTTCTGGAAAACATCCTAAACGTCGGAGTTCAAAAAAACAAAAATACGTACAATATTTCGTGATTTAAACCGTTAAAAGTATTTTATTCAAATGTGTAATACTTGTGAGGCATACTTAATGTAAATTATTTAAAATTCAACTCTTTTATAAAAAGTAGGAAATTTCAGGAAAATTGTGAGACCTGTTTATCAGAAGGGTTTTCTGATTATAAGTGAAAATGGAAGAGGAAAACGGTGTTAACGAAGCGCAGGCGCACAATCTGTTAGGACAAAAGACGCCGGTGCCTCAGAGGCGGAAAGACAACGCACTCACGCGCACTTTGAGGTCATGTAAGTGTACTTTAGTATTTTCGTCTACTGTATACCTTGTCCCATCTTCGTATATAGGTATTGACGAATAAATACCTTAATAATAAATACCTTAATACTTTAAGAGAACGGTAGTTTCGTTTATAATCAAACTTCGATTTAGATTACTTTAATATAAATTAAAATAATCTACTTGTTGTTTACTTTGTTCGTGTAAAATATTTTTGGTATGTCTTACGAGTACATATATCTGAAGTTTTTTTAGCGGTATTTACTCATAATTATAAAATTAAGATGTTCGTTCTATTTCTCCCGATTTCAATCTGGAATTAAATGCATTGTAGGAACATCGAAATTTCGTCCAGGTCACGAACCAATATTCACAGATGGATGATGGATGCAAGTGGTGTAGTTGAAACGTGCGTTACGGTATCAGGTTGTGGATTTCCGAATGTTCAAAACCAAAATAAGTCGGCAGTGCATCTTGAGTAGATGCTGTGTGGAAAATCACCTTCCTTCAAGTCAATCCATTGCCAAAACAAACTTCTCAAAGTGTACGGTTAACGTAGCTATCAAAATGATTTAATCGATAATAAAAGCGATAAGTGTCGTCAATAAAAATAAGACTTTATCTTAACATTCTTCTTGAAGATTCCGCAGACGTATTAGTTAAAATTCCTTGAAGGCTTGTGATAAGGGTGCTTGTACACTTAGGCAAAAATAAGAGGTGCCAAGTACCTATAATCGACTGAGCATGATCGCTAATATTACATACTAGCAACAGCTGTTAACGCAACTCGTCCCGTCGTTCTTCGACATATACTGTATTCGTGAACATTTTTGGTTTTGGTCTTTTAAATTTTTCTCGCAGCGAACGCAACGAAAGCATTCAGAGATGAATATTTTTTCCTGCTTTTAACACATTACCCTCTGTTTCTTCGCTCCTATTTGTCGAATGTGTATTTTTGAAATAGAGCGGGGAGGGGTAGACATATTTGTGTGTCTGTTTAAATTCCCCAATGATTTTAATTATAACCCTGAGCCAGAGAGGCAATCTGGGATAGTAGATTAGTTCGTTTAAGAAGATAGAGACTACATAGAAGAAAAGTTCACATAAAAAATAGATATATTAATAAAAGTGCTAATCAGTCGAATACATTACTGCAATCGCACTTTATAAGCACTTAACACGTCAACGTTGTAATAAAGTGAAGTCCATACAGTATTATCAGCAATCATAAAAGTAAATAAAAATGGGTTATAGGGACACGATGTAAACAAATACTACCATACATCGGTCTATCCATGTGACAGCAGAATTTATATAAGACTATAGAGCTATGCTTTAAGATTACATGTATTATATATATAGCATAAATTGGGTGCATGAATATGAGAAAATTCAATGGTAACGGTGCGGAAGACTGTCTGTTTAAATCTTGCCATTATTGCCATTCAAATAACATTTAAATTCACATAAGCTATCAGATACATTAATATGGGAAAAGTTATGTTAATTGTAATAATATAGTAAGGTCCTATTAATTTTATTATTGATTTGAGCTGAAACAAATGTACTGACATTTGGCTCTCTGATTCTAAAAAAATGTAAGCTGCAAAACAGAGTTTTTGAAGTACTTTTGTAAGCTTGCATTTTTATGAAAAATGTTTATATAAACGAGTCGTGGACATAATCTAGTACAATGATAAGCATAAGTGCTGTATTACACAATCCATAATAAAATTAGTAGAAGTGGCTAATAATGTTATTTTACAGCAGAACTGATAAAACATGCACGCTGTTCTCAATATTACAGTAGTGTTAGAAATTAAAATTGAATGTAGTTTTACTCTATTGTGAAAAAGGCTGAACATCTTGCTTGCTTGAGAAAATATCCCTGTGTTTCCTACATAGGGACATTTTCTCATAACTCATAATAAGAAGGAAAAACACACAGCAAGCATTTTTATTATAACATTAAAAACAAACTTAACATTCATTTAATACATTATAAATTGGTAATTGCGACCAATTATCAAGTTACCGTTTTTTAAATTACGAATAAGGCTATTGTCTACTATAAATGCAATAGATCGCGTACAGCATGCGCTTACGCCACTTACTCTAATTAAGTAAGTGTGGAAGATGTTCTTACACGTGCTAGCACAAGTATCACAATAAAGATTAGATTTTTAGACAATAACACATGAATTGCTTGATGGTAGGTGAAATACTTCAGTCTTAATGACTGATTAAGATTTGCTTTTAATTAATTTTGCTTAGAACATTCGGAAATTTACCCAATGAAACCAAATTCCGTAATCTACGTCTTTCTCATCTAGAGACGAAATTTTACATTTATACCTCCCATTTAACGTCTAAATTTTAAAGTTCTTACCAAATACCGCATTGAACCCAAAGGGAATCTCAAAACACTTTATATAATTATAAAATAGGACCTAAGTTTATAGGAGACCAAAACCTAATAGTTTGACATCTTTCAGGCTGTTTTATCCCTCAACGTTATATCCTTGGTGTAATGGGCTTGCTTGGAGTTTGCAACGCTTACACGATGCGGGTCTGTCTTAACCTGGCTATCACCCAGATGGTAAACCGCACCAAGTCCAGCACAGACCACTTTGACCCCGATGCATGTCCAAGCAACGATGAGGGCGGATCTAACTCCAGTATCGCTTTTAAGCCTGTGAGTACTTTCTATTATATAGTGAATTGGTTTAAGAACGAAAATAGTAGGACATATTTACCTGTTACCTATGTTTAATAAGTAGTATAAGTGTTAATAGTAGCGCTTTAAACTGTAAAGTTTTTTAAAATGTGTAAACAGAAAATACTCAAAAAAATATATATTGTGTAATATAAATGTATTTAGTTGTCAAGTGATCTATTTCAAAAAGTGAGTCTCTTAATAAAAATAAATTTAAGAATTATAAATCTTTATTAGATTTAAAACATTAGATGAATCGCGCGGGACTCGACCCTACGAACATCGCGTTTCTTCTGTTGCTCTTTCTTAACTTGGTGTTGGTTATGTATAGCATAAATATGATGATAATAGAGTGTCTCAATAATTCATAAATAAAAAAAACGCTCCTTTATCTAAGATTAATTTTAAACGACACACAAATATCAAAGTAAGAATAAAAAGCTATCATGTAATTGAATAACTATAAATTTGTTTCCAATAGACAATATGGTCTCTATATTTTTAAAAGCAGAAAAATACATGAACTAAGAAACGCGAGCAATACAATTTTTGATACTTTGAAAAGCTAAAGTTAGTATCTGAAATTCTAGTCTTTTCAAAGAAAATACGGAGAAATACCTGAACAAAGTTTTCTAAGAAAAATGGAAATCCTTTTCCGATAAGAATGGAAAGTCTAACTTACGATTTATATTTTCTAGTACGCGACATTCGATTGGGACGAAAAGACTCAGGGGCTTATTCTGAGCGGGTTCTACTATGGATACGCTGCCACACAAGTACCGGGTGGTTACTTCGCGGAAAAAATCGGCGGGAAATGGACATTGGGCGTGGGACTACTTAGCACTGCGTTGTTCACTTTCTTGACACCAGTTGTTATAAGAGCTGGTGGAGCGACCTGGCTGTTTATTCTACGTGTTTTACAAGGGATGGGAGAGGTAAGAGAGATAAAGGAAAATAAAGACAAGCAATTGGCTCACTTGATGGTAGGTGAGATACTCCAGCCGTATAACATCCTATTTTGGATTTGTATATTCAGAAATGTACAGACTAAGACTGGAACGCGATTAAGCTTCGCGTCTTTTCATGTGTGGACGGTGATTTGTGATCCGGTAAATTTATATATTCCTACCACACAATTTATATCTAGATTTCTAAAAAAATAATTGTTAAAAAACATGTTGGCTTACAACGAGCCTGTTAATATACACGCTGTTTAGTGTGTGTATAAATTACTCGTATGTGAGCACGTTAAACTGTCGATCCGGTTATCACCACTTCAATGGTGATAGTAGTCAAAGCCTAACTGCACTGGAGTAGCATGGTGGGTCTGTGCTTTTACCCTTACCTGTGCGTGGGACACTATAAGTGTCGTCTTATAGTTTTTAAACAATATAAAGATTCACATTCTCAGACCACATTGTGAAATAGATTTTTTTTGCCAAAGAATTTTTAATATAGATCATTTTTTCCGAGTTTGTGTCCAAAAATTTTCTCCAAGAACTGAAATACATACAATATTTACACCGAAAACTACTTAAAGAAATGATAAAAATTGGCTGATAATAAGATTTATACATTAAATAAAACAATCATATACGATAAAACAATTGAGAATATTTTTTTTTAAGTCGGTATAAAATGCAATTTCTTTTTTAAAGCAGTATTTTGGTATTTAAGTACAAATGAAATAAAAAAGTAGTAAAATTAAATGATATATACCGTTTTTATTAAGAAACTTCAAATTTTGCTAAACGAAAGTACAGAAAGAAAACACTCAATGTATACAAAGCCACCACGTCCGTCCTTTCATTTGAAAGTGTCCCCGCAGATAAAAATAAATGTGATCCTTCATTTTGGCAGGGTCCAACAATGCCGGCGCTTATGATAATGTTGGCGAGATGGGTTCCGCCCCACGAAAGAGGCTTTCAAGGCGCCCTCGTATTTGGGGGTGCTCAAATCGGAAATATTTTCGGCTCGTTCATGTCTGGAATTCTACTTGCCGACGGAAGAGATTGGGCTTACGTATTCTATTTCTTTGGCGGCTTTGGGATCCTGTGGTTTATATTGTGGGTGAGTTAGATTATAAACTATTAAAACACAATTTTAATCCATACCTATTCGTCACTATAACATACTGTAAATCGTCTTTTAAAGACGATTATGATAATAAGACAACTTTAAAATAACTTTTCTCGTCATAAAAAAGTATTATGTATTAAGAATTAAACACTACAGAAATAATATTAGTTAACTGGAAAAATAAAAACGTTATATGATATTCTTTTGTATATATTGTACATAAAATACAGTAAAAATACATTGTATTGCTTTCCTTGTTTAATGTTGAAACGCACAGTGTAATGCTGGGTTTGAATCCCGGAAACATTATTTCGGTCGGGCAGGGAATAGGAATCTTTACTACTGAATTGTAAACGCTTGGAAAAGAGACACAAAAGTATGTTTGTCCCGTGTAATATATTCGCAATAAAGTTACATTATAGTAGTAGAATATAAGAGTAAGCATTATAGCAATTCTTACTAAAACATGTAATCTGATATTCACTTAGCATTTCCTGTGTTTTTGCAGAGTATGCTATGTTACTCGACGCCGAACACGCATCCGTATATATCGAAGAAGGAATTAAATTACTTGAACAAGAATGTTACTACGGCTGAGACCAGCAACGCGAAAGATCCTGTTCCATGGAAGGCGATATTGCGCTCTGTGCCTGCCTGGGCGCTGGTGTGGGCCGCTGTAAGTCTTTCATTGCTTCATTTTATAATCTACTAGTTCCATTTCGCGGTGTTGCCCGTGTTGAAACAGCTTTGATAGTACACATTGAGGTATTTTCATAAGACAAATATATATAAATATACACTAGCTGTGCCCGCGCAATTGTCCGCGTAGAAAAGTTATTTTAGGTAAACATTTTGCAAACATCCTCATCTTCATAAATTATAGCTGTTACCCATGTTATTGTCAACGTCCCGTGGTTTTTGGGAGTTCATTTAAAAATAGAAATATACCATCTCGGATCTTTTTTAATCATTTAAAGAGGAACCATTCTTTTGCATATATTTTTTGAGAATCTTGAACCGTTTTTGCAGCGCATATATAATTAATAATTTTCCTCGTTTTTTTCCCACATTTCCCAGTTTTTCTTCGCTTTTTTGGTAGCAGAGTGATTGTTTTATAGCCTTTTTAATAAATGCTAAAGTGATCTGTAACTGTCGGTTCGATATGTAACGCGTTACGGTACTGTTTATTTAGATTCGATTTAAGTACATTAGTACATTCATTATAATAAGTTTAATTTGAACTTTTTGTTCTCTCGCTCTATCTTTACATTTCCAACTCTTGCAAAGACAAAAGTATTTCAAACAAATAAACTCTGTTACAATATAATATTAGTAGTATCTGAAGCTACTTGGAAACAACGGAATACAGTCAATTTCGTATTCGAACGAGCGAAGAGAAATTTATTGGCGACATTCTTTACTGCGGAGTACGGATTCAGTATACAATGTGGAAAATTATAAATATTAACCTCAGGAATGCTCAGAGAGACTCAATTTCGATATTGCGAGGGTCTGTATTTTTGTCTGTTTATATAATTATACAAATACAAAGGATATGGGATTTAGATTAAAAATTATAGTTATTTAGTTGCTATGCGACACAAGGCCACAGTGCTTTATTTGTGTTGTATATAAAGAAAGGAAAATATAAACAGAAACATAAATCTCCTTTTTTGTCCGTGTTGTACAAAAAAGGAGATATATGAAAAATATTTTATGCTACACATGGACATGGATGGTAAGTATCGTAAATATGATTCAAAAAAAGAACAAAATAGAAACACGTTTGTTCAAAAACGATACCATTTTTACAATAACCTTTGAAAATGTTAATATTTTTCACATGACGGCAAAATATTAAAAACCGATTATAAATTTAAAGAAATAAAGACTCGGGCATTTTGGGAAACTTATTTTACAAAGATACAATATTATATAAATAAATACACATAAAATACAATAATACAGTTGCCTCTAAAAGGTTCCACTCAGCTATGTTGGGCCTAATGTCCCAACGCTGATATTCCATGTCCCCAACGGAGGCCCAGTGACAAGCGAGATAGTTTAGTCAATAACGTTTATACATAAATACTTAACACAATTACAAATTTACAACACGCCACATATACAATTACACACGTAAAAAGTTATATTTATTTACCCGCAAAATCTCATTCTCGTAGCGACGCTGATAATATTCAAATGGTATTACGAATACAAGATAAAATAACATGTGGAACTATTAAAAGTTCAATCAACTTGTAAAACATAAGGAATATTCGTTATTCATACTGGTTGCGTAATGAGTTTTGCGACTGTGAACAGACCTTGGTATTGTAAATCTATGGACTAGTGTATTATACTTTGGCTGACGTAGGATGATACGTTTGACAGTATGCGACGCCGTTTATTGACGGGTGCCACCCATTTTGTTCAATGCTATCAATGCAAAAAATAATCAAAAATAAAATTAATATGATGGAATTCTTATATAAGTTAGCTCTTAAAGTTAGGCAAAATGTAAAAAGGCGGTATCGATTAAAAATCATTATTCGGGTGAACTAGCTTCACAAAAAACAAATCGAATGACTTTGACAATAAGAAACGGTAACGGTTTAAATGCGATATATATTAGTGGATTTCGTCAAACACCAACTACGACGGAACAGATGGCGCTAATGTATCGGGTTTTACTTTGTCATCAGAGACATCCACCATCCGCTAGGCTGCTGCAAAGCATCTGAAACGTCGGGCCGTAGTTAAAATAATTTTCAAATAAGGTCCACTAATATATATCGCATTTTAAACCGTTCATTTGTTTTATTTAAATGTGTACTTCTCGCGTAAACAGTACCCCGTACGTATATGTTTTATTAACATTCTATTTCTTTCCTTATATTTTAGACAAAGTATAATGTGCTTCGACTTTGTTCGTTTGATGTAAACAGTGTATTTTTAATCTGCATTTGCTCCATTTGATGTTAACCTAAATATCGTGACAAAGGCGGTTGCGAGCCAACTATGAGCTTCTGAGACGAAAAATATTTATACATAAACACTTAGTATACATACATATGATATTTACGTCAATATATCAAATAAGCTAATAATAGAATTTTAAATTTGGAAACAGTGGTGAAATAGAAACTTGTGGTATCATTTTTAATAACATATAAAACAAAATCACTTTTTCTGTCCCTATCCACGCTTAAATCTTAAAAACTACGAAATGAATTTTGATTCAAATTCTTAATAGATAGAGTGATTCAAGCAGAAGGCTTATTTATAGAACGCTCACAGTTCACACAGTACAGCACAGTATTACGTATTTAATATCAGCATTGCACCCGAGCGAAGCCGGTGTGAGTCGCTAGTTTATGTAAAAACATATTTTATTATTTTTCCTGAATATTAGGGCAAATATTTGTCCTCAACAATTTAAATTAATTTTATAGTCGTGTCTTATTTATTTTATATTAAATGTGTAAACCAATTGTAGAGTCATAATTTCTCCTTCATTAATTCAGACTCAGCAAGATCATTACTATAATGACAATTACATACCGATGCTTATAGTAATCTTTATTGCAAACAGATTTGGTTAAACCGAAATGCGTATGGTAACAATTAAAGCAGCATCTTGCCTAAAAGGGAGGTATTTTGCAACACGTACTATTGAATAATAATATTGCGTTAAACTTGAAGGCACCCACTCAGTAGAGAACCGGATAGGCGTGTCATTAACCTAATAGAGGTTTCGTAAAACGCTTTGTCGAATGTCGCGAACACTATTGTATTTTTTATGGGGGGCAATTCTGATGGTGTGATATTCAAGTACGTTAAATTCTTTTGATACTTGACGACATGGCGCGAATCGAGACTTATAGAACAAAAAAGTTTGACAAATGTATACCCGCTTTCAGTTGCTTCATTTTAATTGTATTAATTTTACGGTTATAATTTAAGTAAGCGGAAAAATGATGGTACATAAAAATTGTTTTCCTTCTTAATTTCAAAAATATATATATATATATATAATTATATATTTTGTGATATTGACACAAAGAAGATAAAAACACTATTGTTTATGTCATCTGTGTTGTTTCAATCTCAACTCACTTCGATATATCTATAATGTCTCACTTGTTATATTAAATTTTGTATGTACGTGTAATATACAACTTGCATACCTTATTAAACCTTATATATCAATCTGTGAATAACTGTGAAAAATCAACTCAACGCCAGAGGAAACGACGAAGTATTTTAGAAGGCATTTTAAATTAAATACTTATATAACTTGAGTATGTGAGTAATGTGAGTATGTAAGTCTCATCGAAGTAATGTTTATAGTGAAATATTTGTCGCAAACAGTGTTAATGACATTAAAAATAGTTCTCAACAACTTGTAACGCTTATGACGTAACCGACCATCTCGTAATTAAACAGCTGTTAAAGTTTTCTCAAACAAAAGATAACCTTTCTTTCTGAAGAAACATATTTATAATAATAATATCCAAAGTCAAAATAGGTCGATATCGCATCTTGTTTAGATGCGATAGTGGTATATCACCTACAATGAAGTAAACCCCATGCCATGTTTGTCCAACTCTAATAAAAAAAATAACGCTTAGAGATGTTTTAGGGATAAAAAAAACTGCTGTGATTATTTAAAAGTCGAGTTTGTTTATTCTAAAGTGGTATTGCGCACTCATTGGTCTAATAGTAGAAATGTATGGCTAATAATCAATGGGTCTTGGATTTAAACCCCACTGGGACCAAAGTGATTCTAATAAATTTATAATTTTTATGAAACATTTTGAATAGGGGAAAAATTCTGTCCGGATCACGAACCGCCGTTCATAGATGAAAAAGTCGGAAAATTTAATCGCGTTTCGGTTTCAGTCTGGATTTCCGAAAAAAATATCTCAGTAGCATCTCACCAGATCATCTTTAGATGGCTGGGGTATTTCATCATTAGATAAAATACTTATAACGGGTTTTAACGCGAAATGTATTAGATAAACTTAACTGACAACGGCTGCTGCAAACCATCCGGAACGTCGGACTTTAGTTGAATTAGTTCGTAAATAAGTTTCCTGATATATTTCGCGTTTTGAACCGTTAAAAAAGTAGTATTTAATTGTACTATCTAAACGTGAAAACCATGCTTCTGTCTGTCCTCTTTTATCATAAAAAAGAAAATATGATTACTATAACTACTTTTTTTTAGTAGAATTTCTGTAGCTTGCTTTATTTTAATCAGGTTGGCCACGACTGGGGCTATTACACAATGGTAACAGACTTGCCGAAGTACTCCCACGACGTTCTCAAATTCAATATTGCAACCACCGGAGTTCTGACCGCACTGCCATACATTGCTATGTGGTTGAGTTCCTTTGTGTTCGGTTTCGTTTGCGATATATGCATCAAGAAAGGATGGCATACGATTAAGACAGGCCGAATCATACATACTACTATTGGTGAGTTTAAAATGGATCTATAATGTCGGAAATCGAAGACGCGTCGTACACACTATGTTTCCGTCATTTTTTAATCTTTGACACCTAAATCTCAATACAAAAGACTTTGTATTGATTGTTTAGCATTAAAAAAAATTAAAATGTATGATCGAGAAGAAAGTAAAAAATATAACGTTATAGAAACAATTATTTTTTAGCTATTAATTAAGTAAATAATCTTGAATGATATGTATATAGATCGGTACACATTTAAATGTTTATATACATTTAAATTTTAAAAGTGTTATACTTTCAACGACTTTTACATTACGATATATCTATAATACCCCGTGTCCACGGCTACTGCAAAGCATCCAAAAGACCGGGCCGTAGTTAAAATAATTTGACTATCGTATCTCGCGTTTTAAACCGTTAAAAGTATTTTATTTTAATTTAATTTGTATTGCTTATTTTCAGCTGCCACCGGTCCGGCTATTTGCATTATTTTGGCATCTTATGCTGGCTGCGATAGAGTAGCTGCTATGGTGTATTTTGTATTATCTATGGCGCTCATGGGAGGATTTTACAGTGGCATGAAGGTACAACTATACCCTCTATCCTCCCTTTTATAATAATGGTTTTGGTTACCATTGCATATGTGTGTAGTCAATTTTCTGAAACTATAGATCGACAGCCCCCCTTAGATGGTATGGAGGGGCACTTCTCCTTCCATCAAGTGTAAATACGAGCCCGTAAGAGTCCCACGATCGTTAGATAAAAATTACTACATAATGTAGAAGATATTTGGTTTGGCGTAAGTTGGCATTTGAAAAAAATGCATTATTATAGATATAAAAGTTGAATATGTCCTAGATATTCTAATGATGTGAATTTCAGGTGAATGCCCTGGATTTAGCGCCAAACTACGCTGGTTCGCTAACATCGCTCGTTAACACTACGTCCACATTTGCTGGCATCATTACGCCGTATCTAATCGGATTGTTAACTCCTGATGTAAGTTTTTGAGCAATATTTCCAATCCTCAAATGCTTTGCTAAAATATACATTTCAGGCGTTCAAAATTGTAACGTTAAAAATTTACGTGCTTGTTGGTCTAAACAAGCGCGTCAATTGAAGAAAAGAAATAAAGAAAAAATATTAAATATATTTAACAAAAATACAGCAAAATACTTAAAGCTAAATTTTGAGGAACGTCGTGATGCAGACGTAGCTGAATGCTGCACGAAAGGGATCGCATAGCGCTATTTTTCATCGACGGGTCGTGGGTTCGATTCTACCACGTTTCAAATAAATTAATAATTATTCTGAAACGTGTTAAACATCGGAACGGACACAATATAAACGGGTGATACGAATATCGAAATTTTGTTGGGCTCCCAAACAACCGTCCAACGCGATCGGTTTAAAACGCGAAATATTTACTAAACTTATTTTTAATAACTATTTCACTATATTTAACTTAACCCCCGTGGCCACGGTGTAGCTACTATTTGTTAGCTTTTTAACTTTTTAAGCCTTTAAAAGAGTTTTATTTAAATATGAACTACTTGCGTAAACTACAGATAACACTTACATAACTTTAATATATTCATTCGAAATCAAATTATATACGTTCATATTAAGATTCTACATAGCATATTGTAAATATAGATGTCAATGAAATAAAACATTTTGACGGTTTTAAATGCGAAATGTATTACGTAAACTTAAAACATCGGGGTAGTATAAATTTAACAAAAATTTCACGATTAAAGTTTTTTTTTATGTGTTTACTCACATAAACTACATACAGTATCTAATATAAATCTTCTACCGTCGATTTATGAAAGGATTTTAAGTGAAGCTATAAGCTCGAGGAGCTACGAGTACGAGTACATTGTAAAGTGAGCGAACGGTAATCGAATGTGACTGAAACTGTCCGAATGGATTTTCCGATTTACTGCAGCTAATCCGATTACGCGCCTCTGACACGTTCAATCGAAAATTCACAATAACCGAGTTACATTTAGTAATTTATTTCGAGACTGATCTACCTGGCAAACTTATGTGCTTTACAAAATAGTTGAGATATCCCTTGTAACAATAATAACAGCAAATAACTTTGATGATAATAAGCTAATCTTTGTAGACGCCTAAAGAATTTCAACAAAACAATTTTAACGGATAAAAATCAAAATATACTAGTCAACTTATTTACGTGAATTGTCCTCTAGGGCAACTTACACTTTCTGTCGCGTCGCGTTATATCGGCGAAATTTTTACCAAGTGGTTGAGAATAGGAGAGAGCAAAAGGCCTCTTGTGGAAACTAGTATTGTCGCCGCGGCTTGCTCGGCTTTAATAAACTGTAAATAAGGTAACTAATAATATTTCGCGTTCAAACCCCATAAATGATCAATCATCGATCCTTAAAGGTTTAAAAAAAAATCCAATTTGTATTTCTCTTTACAGTCAACCCTGGTCCAATGGCGGACAGCTTTCTGGGTGTGTTTCACCGTCCTAGTTGGTACCAATGTGGTATACTGCATTTGGGCAGATGGCGAACAACAATGGTGGGATGATGTCAGAAAATTCGGATACCCAGCAGATTGGAAACATGGATCACTATTAAGAGACGATGTTGTCGAACAGCCAGAGGATGTGAAGCTTACTAGCAGAAAAGATACAGAGGATTATAATTAACGAAGTGGCCACAAGATTACGACTTGAAAGACATATAGAGTATAAAAGTAGACTTCATAGACATAACCACCTACCCAACGCTAAAAATAAATAGTAATAAAAAAAAAGAACAAAGCATTAACTGTACAAATTAAGATACAGAAGAAGTTAATATTATCATTATTTGGTATACTATCAATTTTATGAAAAGTTAAGACCTGTCTTCCAAATGAGGTTGGGTACAAAAAATAAGTAGTGGTTATAAATAACAAAAGACATACAATAAAATTATATAACTACGTTAAGTAATAAGGTACATATAACAGTTTTTAATATTGTTGTTATAGTAAATTGTAAGTTTGTTAATAGCTCTGTGTATGTTAGTTTATGGAAATATTTGTTATTTAATATCCAAGCTGATCTGGCAAACGTTATTTTATCATATTTGATTGAAGTTTGTAATCAAACTTCAATCAAATATGATAAAGTAACGTAAATGGTAATCCATATAGATGGTTCTTGTGAATTGTTTCTAAAAGATTGACATAACTGACATACAGTTATGATACCGCGACAGTTCGCGGATTTTGAGATTGTTTTAAGAAGAATAATTAAACTTTGAATGTTTTTCGCAGCATACGCAGTGGAAACACTTAAATCAAATACTGTCTATAGTTTACGCGAGTAGTACACATTTAAATAAAACACTTTAACGGTTTAAAACGCGATATATTAGTTAAACTTATTTGATCTTGATTTGTCTCCCCGTGACCACGGCTGCTGCAAAGCATCCGAAACGTCGGGCCGAAGTTAAAAATCATTTCCAAATTAGTTTAACTAATATATCGCGTTTTAAACCGTTAAAGTGTTTTATTTAAACACTTAAATCATTTGATAATGAATAATGATGAATCATTTTCCCCGTTTCTTCGCTCCTATTGGTCGCATCGAGGTGTTTAATAACCTTAAAGCCTTCAATAAATGCTCTAACCAACACAATTCAATTTGAACTAGCAGTTCTTGAGATTAGCGCGCTCAAACAAACAAACAAATTCTGCAGCTTTATTATAATAGATAAAAGAAAACGTAAAATGTGGCGTTCAATTGAGCTACATCTTAGCAAAATTTTATCAACATCGGTCAAGCCTTCACCTGCTATTACTCTTATAATTAGTAGTATGCTTATTGTGTATATTCTTTCACGTTTATTGTAGGAAATTGTATCTTAGAAGCATTTGCATGGAACACAGTTATCTCCAATATAACCAAACACGTTGTAACTTAGTTAAGTTCTGTACCAGCGAACCTAGTCAGTTTTTGAATTTGTCGTAACCAATTTTGTGTGTCAGTGCGGATATGTGTTTATACAGTGTTTATGTAATACTCATAAAAATATAATGTGTTCGTAACATTTGATTCTTTTTTTATGGCATCTGTCCTGAAATACGAAGGTACATCTAGAAAGTTTTCGCGAATTTTCAAACTCGCATTCCAAGAAACCACTCTTTAAATAGATTACTAGTTTATATGAATCTTAACTAGACGTAGCATGTTAATTGAAAACGACCTGCAGTACACGAAGGAATAAACGAATTAAAAAAAACATATTAAAGTCGCGATTGTAAGTCTGCTTATGCATTTAGAACCTACTTGAATAAAACCGTCTTGACGGTTTTTTTTATATTTAGCTGAGTGAACGTTTATTGAAATCTTAATCCATTTCAATAAAGTATCTGGGTCTATATGTTTGCAGTACCCCCCCCCCTAAATTTTGAGGACAAAATTTAATACGCGAAGCGAACGAAGGGTAACAATGACTACTAAGAATTAATGGTATCCCTAATGGTTCAGTGGTTCAGGATGCATTGTGTTAGGTGACCTTGGAACCCAAACATAGTTTTGGTAAAATAAAAACGTTTCATAAAACAGACAAAGAATCTGATTTCTCTCTTATGCTCCGCAGAAGTGCATGGAGATTTTGTAGTCATCTGAGACAATCCTTGCTTAAACAAAATCTATCCACTTGAATGACGCAATATGCGAAAACTAGGTAGTGCCTACCTCGAGTACAATCAAATTCTGTATACTGTAAATATTAAATGATAATAAATTATATAAATAGATAACGCAAAATTAACAGTGTGACATTCGTAAAACGATCTACAAGTTGTATAGAGACCAATAATTTTATAAGGTTTGAAAATAATGAGTGAACCAGGTGAAAATAAGAAGCAAGAACCATTATTGAATGTGAATAATATTGTAGTCCGTCCGTTACCGAAGAAAGATAGTGGTCTCGTTAAGTTTTTACGTAAAAGTGAGTAACTTGGTTTTCAACCGATTGTAAGGAAAGGATATTTAAAACACTATTAACGGTTTAAAACTCGAAATGTATTATTTAAACTTATAAATTATTTTAACTTCGGCCTGACGTTTTCGCCTAGAAAAAGATAGATAATATATAACTGCACAGTGACAGAGTAACTTATTTTTGTACGAATAAGTGACAGTTTATAAAAATTAATCTATATTAAAGAAAGATTTACAAGGATAAAACGACAAACAGTAGCTCAATCGGAAGTGCAACGGCGCTGTGCGCTATTTATCGTGGGTTCGAATCCTGTCATACAAATAGTTATTATTACCTTAAATTACTTAAAATAACATTATCTTCGAAAATGTTGATTACCTAATAACGATTTTTTCCTAGATTGTTGTATACCACAAAGATGGGTTTTTGGTATAATGGGACTGGTTGGTTTATGCAACGCCTACACGATGCGAGTAACACTGAACATAGCTATAACACAGATGGTGAATAGAACCAAAAACGTATCAGCGCATTTTGACCCCGATGCGTGTCCTAGTGATTCAGATGGCATGACAAGTATAAGTAATATGTCTACTGCGAACAGACCGGTAAGTTTGTAAAAAGAGGCAGAGAAGTGTAGAAAGGCAGAAGTTTCCTTCATGCAAGGTAAAATATTACAGACGTGTAACATTATAGTAGAAAAATATGCGTTCTCAACGTATTTTGACTTAGGACATGGATTTGAATCCTGCTTACGATGTCGATTTTCTTCAAGCTATACGAGATTCAAAAAGACATTATTCAAATCAACCAACAAATACTTGCTCTTAAATTTAAGCCTAGACAATGAAGTCGGGAAAAATAGCTAGTGGCACCATTGAATAAAAAAGTTTTCGCTAATAGCGTTAAACTGAGGCTTATAGAATTTATTTAACCTTTTGTACTGAAAAATAATAATTAGGCGCCAGAAAGCACTAACAGCAACATAGGTTGGTAAACAATTAATCCTTACTAATATTATAAATGCGAAAGTAACTCTGTCTGTCTGTCTGTTACTCTTTCACGCCAATACTACTGAACGGATTTGAATGAAATTGGTACACAGATGGTCTAGACCCGAAGAATGACGTAGGCTATTTATTGCGGAGAGGGGTTGTAAAGGGTTAAAAGGGGTGAAAGATTGTATGGAAATTCATGGTTTTTGAAGCTAGAACGATGAAACTTTCTTCTTTGACTTTTGAATTTCATAGGTTGCCTGCAATAAACGCGCAATTACATAAATTAATAAACAACCTTAATAATTAAAAATTCTACCCCAAGTCACTATTCCACGCGAACGAAGTTACGGGCACAGCTAGTAAAGTATATTTTTCTACTTTTGGTAATATTCACTGTTATCTATTACTAGCCAAAAATACAATACTTATAATGAATTAGATGTGTGTGGAGGGACACCACTCAGGTTTTGTTCTACCTGGAAGTAGGCAGAATGCCGATTTTCAGTGATGCCCCACATATTTCAGTTATTTGCTCAATTCCAATGCTATAGTAACAGCAAACAGTAAATTATCTCATTTATTATCACGTATGAAGGTAATGTTTCCACGTTCATTTTATTTGTTTATCAGTAATTAATACAGAAATTATTTAACTCTGGAGCGCGGAAATATACGAATCGTTTATTTGATCAAATTATCATTAAAACATAGGTCACATTTTTATTTATTTTCTAACTACCTTCTTATCATAACAAATATATTTTAAGCTACTTATATAAACTACAAAAGCGATAGAAATTTAGAACCTAAGTAATTTATACGTGTAGATAAATGGTTCCACCAACTTAAAAAGCCATGTACCATGTATGTATGTCAAACCAGTAGTTACTAAGATAAAGAGAGAACACTTAATGTGTATAATATTAGTATAATTATAATTTTATTCATTGCATGCTGCAACCTAGTCCAACATAGATAATTCAGCATAATATTTATCATTGTTATTCAGCATGCCATATTTGATTGGAACGAAGAACTCCAAGGCTTTATTTTGAGCGGTTTCTACTATGGGTATGGCTTGACTCAAATTCTTGGAGGATATCTCGCAGAGAAGTATGAAGGAAAGTGGACTTTGGGAATCGGCTTGCTCAGTACTGCTATCTTTACTATTATTACACCTGCTGTAACCAGAGCTGGTGGTGCAACATGGCTATTCATTTTAAGAGTTGTTATTGGAATGGGTGAAGTAATTACATCTTACTATTTTCAAACCTCTTATATGGTAAAAGTAGATAAAATTAATGTTTATTCAGGGATAAAATGTACAATCTTAGTCATAGAGTACAGTTTTAAATTGCCAAGACCCAAACGGAACTCCCAAAAAAGTACGTTGTGATTTTTTTAAGCATGTAGAATTTTCTACCCCAGGGTCCCACGATACCAGCTCTAACGATAATGATGGCGCGTTGGACACCACCTGATCAAAGGTCTTTCCAAGGCGCGTTAATTTTCGGAGGATCACAATTGGGGAACATGATAGGATCGTTCTTGAGTGGAATAATAATGGCTGATGGAAGAGATTGGGCTTATGTATTCTATTTCTTTGGGGGATGTGGTATAGTGTGGTTCATTGTTTGGGTAAGTATAATTTAAAGCACCTACTGTCCTAGTTGCACTAGTAGTACACATTTAAATAAAATACTTTTAAGTATTTAAGTAAAAAATATTGTAAATAACACAAGTAATACATTTAGCGTTTTAAACAGTTAAAATAATTCATATGCTTCTTGTTTTTAAATATTATTTATTTTATTTGGTAGAAATACTCATAATTTATTACTTTCTGAGTGAAGGGTTATTCTTTTAGAGTTTATTAGTGTACAATGAGCCAAATGTACATCCATTTATTACACACGAAGAGTTGGATTATTTGAACAAGGTTGTCAAGAGAGCAAAAGTCACATCAGTATCCGATCCTGTCCCTTGGAAAGCAATACTTCGTTCTCCAGCTGCGTTGGCGGTTCTTTGTGCTGGTGTAAGTTTATTAAGAAAGTTCTTATTCAGAATAATAATTACTGAAAGGGGAAAGGCAGACAAGTTTTCGCTTCTATTAGATGGGACTGCAGTGCCCTGACTGACCGAAACTATTTAGCCACAAAGGCAGTTACTAAATTAATTGTAAATTTTACGTCTAGATCGGCCATGACTGGGGTTTCTACACGATGGTATCTGATCTTCCTAAGTACATGAATGACGTTCTTAAGTTCAACGTGGCAACAATAGGCACTATGACTTGCTTGCCGTTCTTAGCTAAATGGATACTTGGATTTGTTTTTGGATTCACATGCGATTATGGAATCAAGAAGGGATGGCATTCTCCAAAGACTGGCAGAGTTATTTACACTTCAATTGGTAATACATATAACAGTCTTTCTTATGAATTTCTTTTCATTCTCACTATCTAACATCTATTTTGATTGAAAAAATTTAAGTACTGTTTATTATTTACTCCAGTAGTACACATTTAAATGAAAATCTTTAACTGTTTAAAACGCTATGTATATTAGTTAAAAATTTTTAAAATTAATTTTAACTATGGTTATAATTATAATGCCCCGACGTTTCGGATGCTTTGCAGCAGCCACCACGGCTAATATATATCGCGTTACAGGTGAAACATGAACCGGCATTGACAATTATTTTTTGCTATATCTTAAATAAATAAATAAATATGTTACAAAAACTTATTGTTGAGCTGCCGTGTCCCAGGTCATTGAATAGTTTAGAGCAGTAGCATGGAACGCTGTTGATGCTGGTGCAACTCCCACTCGAGTTATCATATTTTTTTTAATTTATATTGATTTTAAATTTAAAAAATGTGAAAAGTATTCAAACATTATCTAACATTTTTGATCTTCTAACAGGATCTGTAGTACCAGCTGTGTGTATTATTTTGGCGTCATATTCTGGATGTAATCGTACTGTTGCGATGGGTTGTTTTGTGGTAGCCGTTGGCTGTATGGGTGCTTATGTTAGTGGTGTAAAGGTACAAATCGAATCTATAATGGATTATTGAATTGGAAGAAGCATGATTTTTCAATGTCTGCTTCAACTTTTTTTACAGGTGAACATTTTGGATATAGCTCCTAACTACGCGGGCACTATATCAGCTTTTATCAACACAGTTACGACGTTGGCTGGGATAATCTCTCCCTATCTCATTGGTCTATTGACACCAGATGTAAGTTTTTTTTACTTATTTTATATATAGTATAACGTACATGTTGTGCTATTTATTACGTTAGCTTTGCTCCATCTTGAGGATATTGCCTTTGACAATCAATAACCTTGTTTGCAGTCTACCCTTGTCCAATGGCGAAGAGCATTCTGGATTTGCTTCGCGGTAATGATTGGAAGTAATATCCTTTATGCTTTTCTGGCTAAGGGAAGTCAACAGTGGTGGGACGACGTTCGACAATTTGGTTATCCTTCAGATTGGAAGCATGGGCCGATAATAAAGGATAAAATCCCAGAAGAACCAGAATCAATCAAGTTGTGCAAAAAAGAGAATGATGATGAAAAAGAAAAGGAGAATAAAGTTTGATTGTTCTTCAAAGGATTTTGTTTTTTTTTGCACCAAGTTCTTCTTATAACTTATGTTTCTTAAACGGAGAACATTGATATTATTAAGAATAGAAAGTCGCCCAAATGTAATATTAGTGAATTTAAATCAAAGTTTGCCGCGCAACAGCCTTGAAAACTGATGAATTAAATACATTTTGCTCTAGTAATATCTAACAGATGTCGATAAATGATTTATACATGATTAGGCCATTAGGCATAAGTTATTAAAATAAAATTACAACACGAAATAAATTTATCAACAAAAAAAGCCTAAGGTTTCTCGTCTTTCACAACTTCGTTTTCTATATTTGTATGACTGGCACACATCTGTTTCCTAGCATCTCTGACTTGGTTCGTTATATTTTTTATTTCAGTTTGCAGTTGAGCTTTCTTCTCTCTAAGTTGGACTACCTGTTGAAAATTTAAAAGAAATACTTTAGAAATATTATTGCTAATTGGTTTGAATCATTTTTTTGTTTATATTTTAGAGATACGGATATTGTCTTTTTTAACTAGCATGTACATGACTTGTTAAAAATATCCCATGATCTAAATAATTCAGGAAATCATGGATTCAGGACTTGTTTGAGGACTGATTCGTCTGTCTCGTCTGGCTTATTATCGATTTGTGACCACTCCGAATTCAGTGAATCTTTAATGCAAAAGCCAGGCGTTCTCTCGTCTATCAAAATTTAGTTACTAACATCTATTTAAATAAAAAATAAATTTGGACTGCCCGAGTCAATTTTGCTCTATTTCATTATATGTATACCAATTGGTCAATCGTGTCCTAATCAAGCTTGTGGGTCACGGTAGCTCTATTGGTTAGACCTACGAAGCGCTGTGGGTGTTAAAATATATGTAATTACATGTGACAATACAATTTTCCGATGTATTATTAAAGCCATTGATAAACATGTCAAACACATGCAATGGAAATTCAGAACTATAATTTCCGTCAGTCAGGTAACGGTACCAGCTTGGGTAATTGTTATTAGTCTCATTTTTCATCGTCGTTGCATGACTTTAGCGAGTTTTATGATGGATCTACCTCGTCAGTGGCGTCTTGGTAGTCACGCAAGAGATCCTTCCTTGTAAGCAAGCCCGCCTTCAGTCGTTCCCCTTGCAACGACCATCGCAGTTTATCGCGACGACTCTGTAAGAATAAAACCATTCTAGTGTCATTTTATGTAAGTAACACGAATATACGCCTTTATGACACAAAATGAAAATGTTTTTTTAATAATTATTTTACACTGTACTTAAATTATTTATTAATTGAATAAGATAAAGTTAATGCTTTAGTTTATATAGTAAAATAGTAACCAGGGACTATTACAATTATTTAAGCGAGCCTTTTAAAATAGTTACTTTTTAAACCCTGTTACTGTACAATATGTATGTAGCTGTAAAGCTTTTAAGTAAAGTAAATTCGTTGGTAAAGGGACAGACTGACTGTAAATTATGATCAGCACATACATATCATGTGGTATGTAATTTATAAAACATCCCGTGCTATCACAAACATTACAACAATTTAAAAATACCATTTAGTATGTGTAATCAATGATTTATTTACTTTTTAATGTATCTTAATGCCTATACAAACTTCCCCCATGTATTTCACAACGTGTAGACTTTTTCGTCTAGTTATTTAAGCAAAACAGGTGTTATCTTCACATTTCAGAATATGTAAACTCTTTCTGTAAATATTTGGTCAGTCGTTTACGTAAACATTAAACATTTCAACATTGTATTATTTACATCGTTAAAGCAGCTTTATTTAATTATAGGCTTTAGCCGTTACGTGTTATTATTAACATTTAACTAACTCTTCTTTATTCATTTGTTAGAAAAGGACAACACTTAAAATATCAATTTTTCACGTAAGTGCAGATCGTAGATTTATATAGTGTTAATAATGTATTCTAGATGCAAAAGCATCGATAACACGCATAGGTTCGAACCGGCGACTACAGAGTTTCGTGTTATTGTTCTACCAACGGAGCTATCTTGTCCATTCGTGGTTATCGTATTTATTCTATCCATCCTATCAATGCACGTGAGCATAATGGAATGTAAGTTCGTTTCATGTCATTGGAAGTTTTTAAATCTAAAATTTTTTTTTTTTGATGACCGAGAAGCATGGCGTCCACTTAATGGAAGGTAAAAAGTCATGTACCTAACATCTAAGACAGATGTGCTGTGTATTTTGGCGATTTTGAGTATACAATATAATTGATTAATAAGAAATTATATGTCACTTTACAATTGAAACTTAAATAATAAAAACTTGTATGACGTATGTATGATTGTATGAAGTATGATACTACCTTGATGGATCCCAAATCTTCTCTAGCCCTCAGAACCTCAATTTCTGCATCCCCAAGGTCGCACTCAGCAAAATCAATTACTTCATCGGTGTGATGCATTTTCTCCCTTATATGTGCCAGCATCTGATTGTGTTCGGTGCATTTTGAGCGATTCTTTATCAATTCGTCCTCACGCTCTATAAACAGCAGTAAAACTGATTTGTTTTTTTGCATAAAAACCAAAATTTTACGTTTGTCTTTACAGATTATACGTATCTCAATAAGCATAACCCAGATTGAGAAAAATTTAATAGTTTAGTCAAATAATCAATTGTTCGTGGGTTTGATTCAAATATTTCTAAGAACCAACTAAAAACTTTCATCTTTTACTTAGTTGATATTAAATAATTCGTAGCCCCTATGTATATTTTATAATGTACCAAGCCAAAATATGACGACATCGCATCTTGTTTAAATGTTATATGACTGGGATATATAACCTTCCCCCAAGTCAATCCCATATCGTCCTGTCTTCTAAAAAAACTAGATAGTACAAATAACTCGATATGCGCCGAATGACACTTTTGCCGAGTACAGAGTACCGATCACGCGCGTAAACAAGTACAAATAGGTTCGTGCCGGTCAATTCACGTAATTTTGTCTCAAGGCTCATTAGCATATTTTTGATTTTATTAATTGAGATTTCCAAGATTACCTATATTACTAATAAATAGTTTTGGATTAACACTATTGTTTAAATTATATCTACCTAAAGCTTTCTTAAACAACGTATACTCGTTATCAAATACTCGAGTTATTCGGCCGAGTACGAGTATCAAAAATCCCGCCAAGCACGCAGAGTACCGAGTATCAACCGAGTACTCGGCCAATCTTTAAAAAAAACTGTGCTCTGGAAGAATAAGAGCAAAATCAAAAACTACCTTCAATTTTCGTCATAAAATTTTGATTATCAATGTGAAGCTGTTCGTACTGCGCCACGTACAATCCAGGTCCCAGGCACTCTAATTTACGAACAATTATCTCTAATTCTGCCACAGCATTTCTGCATCTGATATAGCGGAGGCACAAAGCTGACGCTTGCTCGCTTTTCCGCCGTTGCAACGTCAGAAACCTTTCCACCGTCTATAATGGAGAATGATTTATTGAAAAGCCTAACTGACGTAGCTACATCATGTTTCAGGTAGAATATATGTTTACATTCACTTCCATGTATTCCTACTCTAGTTTGTATTACGTTTTATATGCCAAGTTTACTTCAGCCAAACTCAAAGGGAAATCTTTTGTTTCCTCGAAAAGAAGTCGGAAATTATATGAAAATAGGACACTAGGTCTTCGCGCGTTAGGACTTTTCACAAAAGATATTAAACATTGCGTATGAAATTATTTGAATTCAGAGAATTAATTTATATTTTTAAGTAAATGTATATGAATTGAAATGAAACATAATTATTTAGACACGGGAGATTTATAATAATATCGTCTAAAACGAAATTGCTTGATTGAGCATTATTTTTACTACTTTGTCCTTTAGAATTAAAGCAAACTACAGTGTTTGGATTTTTTTAAAGAACAACAAAACAGTTTATTGTAAACTAATTAGATGTGACTTTATGTATTTAACTTAAAGGTATGAATAAAATTGCTACAAAAAAAGTAAGATATATATGTTTTAACAATATGGAAGTAAATTCGAATGCGTAATTAGATATAAATATTGTGAACAGATAAAATTGTTAAATGTTTTTTTTTCTAATTTGGCTTTTAAATTTTTAAATTTGGAGAATACACTGTATTGGCAATTTTAAAAGTATTATTTTATGAATGTATAATTTGTAGTAACAGTGTATTCAGACCGTAATAACTTAGTAGCAATTAACATATTTAACTGATTGAAACCTAGTTTTATCGTGCTAAAAACAACTTTCACATAATTAGACAACAGTCAGAACCTTATCAGCAATGGGTTTCCCTTTCTTTGAATAAATAAGTCCAGTTCCAGTACTTTTCTCCAACTGTTGGAGGTTATTAAAATTTTTCTCAACATGCTCCAGTTTATCTTCGTATTTGAACTGTACGGCTTCCAATTTCCTCTTTATCTGGAAAATAAGATAACATTGAGTACAAAAAATCGCTCCAGGCGGCGGGCTTATTGGCAATGACCGGGTAATAAATACTGGGTCGTGGGTTCGATTTCTACGCAAATAGGCGCAAAATGTATGTAATGAATTTATAATTTTTCTGAAACACGCCAAACTTCTTCCAATCGGATAAAAAAAGTTAGTAGCAATATAGAAAATGAGTGGAATTTCGAATGAAATAAAATAAAAATAGGTCGACAGCGTAACTTATTTGATATGTTTTATGTCTGGATTATTTCTAGTCATCCTATCAAGCACTATGTTGTCTCCACTATTTTAATGAAATTGTTGTAGAAAAAGAATTTATATAGTTTAAAAAAAGTAAATTCAAACGATTTCACCTAGAAAACCCTTTAGCTTTACAAAATGGCCGCCAAAGCCTCATACAATTTATAAATGTGAATTACATCTTGCATCTCCCTTTCTTCCTTCAATTGCAGCTCCTCGTAACTAAAAAGCTTCTGCTGATATTTCTCTTCCAGGTCCAACGCACCTTCTAACGGCTTTAAAACGTGGTCCAGCTTCCTTTTTCAAACTTAGCATAAACTAATTCATTAGCTATTGCTACAAATTAGAAATAAATATTTATATAACCTCAAAGTTAAGCTTTTATTAAAAAACTGGGATAGCTTGCCGTGCAAAGATTATAAAGCTCAACAATTAACGATGTTACCCTTGTACTGTGATGATGTAACGTTAAACAGATGGACCTGGGTTTGCATCCTCGGAAAACAATAAACTAATTTTATCACGAGAGTTTGATTCATGAGTTCCTTGTATATTTAATTATTTGACGAAACGGAAGTTACTCGTATTCAAAATTACTATCAGGCGTTAAACTCTTAACTCACAAGAACCGTTATTATGGTAATCCAATATTAGGCAAAATAGTTCAAATAACGTTTGCTTGGTCAGCTGGAAAAAAATTAATGTCACAAAACCACCCCGTAAATACACCAAGACAATATAGCATTAAATGAAATTCTGTGTTTGCTAGAACTAGTTACAAGTACTGTAACTAAAAACATTTCAAACTCACTTGTAATATTCTCCCAATCTCCGATGTAGCAAGTTATTTTTCAACTGCAGTTGATACCTATCAAAGGACAGGTCCCTAAAGGCTTGTAGGAATTCATCTCTGTTTATGGCGATTGGCGCAGTCTTTATAATGCCCTGTCCTATTTGCCCAAAGGACGGCTCGCCATCGTCGACACTGTCTATTAAAGGTCCAGTAGTTACATCGTTCAATTAAAAAATACAGCACTTTAAACGGTGTAAAATAAAACTGATTTGATGGTTTGGTTAAATACAATTATTTATCCCGAATAGAACCGTTAAATATATTGCATTGAATGTGTATTCCCTGCGTAAACTGCAGATAATAATCAAAGTACGTTTTTATTTCTTATCTGTTTTAGAAACATATTTGTCTATACTTAATCTGACATTTCACAATTAAGAACGACACAATAATTCATATATGTTACATAATATGAAGCTGCTAGAGGCAGAGTGGCCTAATGACAAAAACATGATTTTCAATAAAGAGGAATATAAAAATGCGCAATTAACTTAGCGGAATATGTATTTAAGTATTATTTAAAATTATATCAATAATTTTCAGTCAGTGTGCAGACATTTTAGACTATAAAAATATAAATAAGTCAAGTTATAAATATGCAGTTAGGCTACTCTGCCTCTAACGGCCTCATATATGAGTACTTTTCAAAGTAGATACATACCACTCTCTCCACCCGCGCTCTCGGTGCTTGCATTTTTTGATTTCTATGATAACAAATTATGTTAGTAGTTATTTTATTACATACGTCATTCAACTTTCATCTTAGAATTAACGTGAGGAAAAGTTTAATTGCGTAAGGCATATAATATGTATTCGAAAAAAAATCTGAACATTAAAAATTCTCAGGCACAGAAATAAGTCCGCCAAATATAGCAGAGATCCCTTACCTGTACCAAGGACAGTAACAAAAATCAACCGCCACTATTCGCAAAGGCGTTTAGTATCGACCGAAGTAGCATGTCACGTAAATCACATTAATTACATTGTGGGGGGAGGAGGGACAATAACGGAACAAGGAATACCTTTGTCTCCGCCATATCGCGTGTTCTGGTAAAGTTACAATGCTATTGATCCATTTAAGCGTTCATCAAAAATTATTTTAATCCGTCCTGTAATAGCGCACAACATGCAGACTGACACTGGTTGTCATGGTAACGGATAAGCAAATTTGTCTTCAAAGAGGTCACGATCGAAATTTTACGGTACTATGACACAAATCTATACTAATGCATAAACCTGAGGAGTTTGTTTGTTTGAACGCGGTAATCTCAGGAACTAAGTAACGGTGGCAATTGGAAAATTATTTTTGTGTTCCTTAGAACATTTATCGAAGAAGGCTATAGAACATCGCGATGCAACGCAGAAGAGCGAAAAAACAGCGGGAAATGGAAAAAAATCATTCTTGTTTTACGTTGCGTACGTTACGAAAACGGTTCAAGATAGCCAACAAATATGTATCCCTCTTTAAATTATTTAAAAATTGTCCACGACATGTAATGTTTAAAAAATATATTTTAATGTTAAGTGACAATAACGACAGGACGCGAACGACGAGCTATAATTTTTAAAGTGTGGAGGAGGTTTGCAAAAACAAATTTTGATGATCAAAATAACTAACTATTCTACGCGGACAAAGTCGCTGACACAGCTAGTGAAAAAATATAATGTTACTTATTTCCCATACATTTGTGTGATTTTTATGCTAAAATAAGATGGATTTTGAAATGTAGTATAAAATATAAGAAATAAGTATAGGGAAGTTGTTGTGTTTGTTGCTACTTTTGCTACTTTGAGTATCTATACCATGATGACTATATCATCATGGTTTAGGCGACGTTAGTTTTCCCAGATAAAACCTGGTATTTTTCCAACACATAAATCAGACCTCAACTAAAAGTGTGGTTTGACGTTGTTGGTGGCATTATGTTCTGTTTGATGATTTTAATTTATGAATCAAGAGTTTAGACCGACTTCTTTTTTATGTTTTCGGATGATTAATACTCCATTGTTGTATATCATTTTAGTAGCTGATCCGGCAAACGTTGTTTTGTTGCTGTAAAATTAATATTATTACTGTTTATATACTGTTACACTAATCGGTTCGGCATTAATTTCGATAAAATTTTATAACCATAAAAATATTATTGCAGGGTCATCTTAAACAATTAAATATATACCGAAGAGGATATTTTAGACAAAAGGGAACCATTCATTCATACGTTTTCTTTGGTAGCTTTAACCGTTTTTGTAGCGTTCACACCAGCAACCTTCAAAGATGAATCATTTTCCACCGTTTCTGCCCTTTCATTTGTTTTAGGGTTTAAATAACCAAACTCTTTAGCTATATAATGTGTTTAATTTTATTTTGTTTGGTCTATTTTTATCTTTGTTTAAGTAGCTTCGTAATAAAGATTTATCCTAATTGTTTTATTGATATATCGTTTGACTGAATGATTGCTTCAATATCTGCCAATAATAATCACCAGGAAATTGTACTTAGTTGTATTGGTTTTAAATTTTTTTAAACATCTTAACTCTGATTATAGCAAAAAATATACTGTTGTTTAATCATTGTTAACAAAGTACTTCTATACTTACATTAATGAAAAACATAATTTAAATATTTTAAGGAGGAAGCAAAACTCATTAAGGTAATTCTCGCAAAAAATAACGAGCTGGCTTGCTGCAGACATTTTTTTATGTCCATTTCACATTTTCACTGATCGGTTAAATTTACAAGTAATTAGGTTATCAGGTTTCTGTGTTTCGACACATATAACCTGGATTCGAACCTAGGACACTTCACAAAAGAGAAACGGAGTAAATACATTTTAAAATAAGATTCTGCTGTTGAAACCGAAAATACAAAACAGAGAAGTGACGTGCAGGAATCCATCAATTCCTCAATTGGCACGAAGACGGCGTTCGTCTTGCCAGAGACATTACACACTCCGCCCGTTTGTAAAAATAACTGAAAGCGAAGAGTTTTACCGACAGACATGTATGCCTACTGAGAATTATTAGGTGTAGCACAAAATTAAACAAAAGCCGGTCGAGCCAATTTTCTTCTTAATTTAGGTTCCGTACGTAAAAAAAAAACTATAAATCCATGCAAAGTTAATTTTACCGTGAATCTATACGAATATAGCTGAAGAGTTTGCTTGTCTAAACGCTCTAATTTTAGGAACTAATGAATTTAATTAAAAAAAAATCATTACGTGTGCGAGCATTTATCGGGAAGAGCTTTAGATTAGAAAACATCACGCTGTAACCAATAACAGCGAAGAGTCGGAAATGTGGAAAAAACGGAAAAAATATTCATTATTCTAGGTTTCCGTTGCGTGCGCTTTGAAAACGGTTCAAAATAACCAAAAAATATGTTTGAAAGAATTGTTCTTTTTTTTAATAATTTGAAAAAAAAAACAAAATTTTGGCACATTATATGTCTATCTAAATTAAAGATCTAATAAAACTAAAAAAATTACGACACGGCTAGTACTTCAACCGGCATTCACAACTTTCCATGCTGTTGCTCTAACCAATTCGGCTACATTGTCCTACACGTTATCGTCATTTTTTTTTTTTTATACTCGATCTTTAATTTATATAATACCACCTTTAATTTATATAATATCATGTGCAAAAATATTTTAAGATTTACTTACACCAACTGCTAATCAATTTGTTGGTTGAAATACATTATATGACTAAAGAATGTTTGCCAGCTAGTATATTCATATTTGTACTATGCCCGTACTACTTTACACATTGACATTCTACATTTTTCTGTACCTATCTAATGTATGTACATTAGATAGGTACAGAAAAATGTCGCCGGGGACCGAACCCACAACCCGTCGATTATTAGCCAAATATTGCTCAATACACCAACGAGATACAAATTCAGTCCGATTCTTATCGTTACGATCCCATAAAGATTTAACGTCTTGCGAATGACTTCTTTGTTTTAGATGTAAATCTTACGCTTTGATCTCGGCTCCGAAACGATTGATATCAGCTAAGTGTTGCTATTGTCGAACAATTTAAATTGTTTATGTGCCTAGTTAAATTTATTGTCTGTGTACTCTTCTTTTGTGATAAATTAATACAAGTCAAGGTTGAGCTGGTACGCAAAAGCTTATCAATTAATATCTTTATCTCCCCATGCGGACTGTTGACGTTTATATTCAATCGTTTTGTTATCTGTGAAATACACAGGTAATAAATATTTGTGCCTTTTACTATAATAAGGACAAACAAAAAGAGTGAACAGAGCTGTCAAAATAATTGGTTTTCCTACTATTTGTTCCTTGGGCATAAGGTTTTAAATTCTTAGACGCATAACAAGTTCACTAGTTACTAAGAACACATTTTAATTAATTTTTAACGGTTAAAACGCAAAATGTATTAGCTAACTAATTTACAAGTTGTTGTAGCTACAGCTCGACTCTTTGGTTGCTTTGGAGCAACCGTGGTCTGAAGTAATTGTATATTTTTAAGTTAATTTTTATAATTTTAAACCGTTAAAAGTGTTTTTTTTAGAAAACCACAATTTTTTTTCCTAGCGTAATTAATGTTACTAGAAAAAACCGAAAAGCCTTATAACTTATTAAATATAAGTGTTCGAACAGTAAAACATTGCGAAGTCATAGTTAGAATAACTTCTAAACGAGCTAACATTTCGAGTTTTAAACCGTTAAAAAGTGTTTTAAATGTACCACTTGCGTAAATTACAGACAAAAACACAAATTATATAATTATTTCTGGTCCCGGGACCTAGATGTGGTCTTACGTTTTCAGATGTTTATTTACTACTATTATAACACTACCGGTTCCCTTGAGAAAGGGATTTTAGGACAGTAACCTTTGTCGAGGCTGGTGGTCACGCAACCCGGTTCTGGGCAGCTGCCAGACTTCGACAATGCGTATCTTAAAATAGCCGCCGGTGAAAAGTGTACACGACATTTTTCACGAGATAAACGACACGCGAATTTCAGCGACAACACCTCTTAATTGGGCTTAAAATTGCTTGAAATCGCGTAATTGCACTGACCTGGCGATTAACACAAGTATGCCGGTAATTTCCTTTGGTAACGTTTGTGATTACAGCTTCACTTGTCTAATATGTGATGACAAGTTTGACAATTGACAAAATGATAAGATCGATTGAGAATCAGTTTTGATTGCTTTTATTATTCCGTCAAACTTAAGTTTGACTGGGTCGGTGGTATAATGGTAGCGAATTATGGTTAATAAAGAAGCGATGTGTCGTGGGTTCGATGTCCGCAGGGTTCAACGTGTTTCTAATTTTTCTGAAACATATTGGACTGGAAATCTGGATGTTAAATAGAATATCGTTAATCCATTCGGGTTACCAACAACCGGTTTCAGTCTGTGGATTTCCGAATATCCAAAGTCAAATTTTAGTTGAGATGTTATATAGCTAGGGAGTTCCGCCTTCAGTCAAATAAATGCTTGCTGCCTCCGATATTCTTTTATACATATTTTTTGGGATATCTTGAACCGTTTTCGCTGTTTTGTTGCATATTTCCCGCTGTTTCTTCGCTCCTATTAGATTACAACGATATGTTTTATGGCCTATAGCCTTCTTCAATAAATGTTCTAACCAACACAAAAATAATTGTTCAATCCGAACCAGTAGTTTCTGAGATTAGCGTGTTCAAACAAACTCTTCAGCTAGCTAGATACAGATTGGTTTCCAAAACACTTAACAGTCAGTAATACATCTTACTTAAGTACGGTACTATTTGTTAGGAAAAAGCAGTCTTATCACCCTATATTAAACAGCGTATGACCATTAGGTGCTAGTGCCAAAAAAGATTGTGATCATCATGATAATGAAAGACATTTTACTAATGCTTCCTCTTACATAGTCCATTTGTAGGCTCCACGTAATGACACTATTATGATGATTTTACTGTTAGACTTTGTACAAAAACTTTTTCTCCTTTTTTTTAATAGACTTAGTCAGCATATTAGGTAATCGTATCCGGCCAAATATGGCTTGACTTCATTGTAGGATGGATGTTTACAATAAGATTAACAGGAAATTTACATTTAAATAATACACTTTAACGGTTTAAAACGCGATATATTAGTTAAACTTATTTGAAAATGATTCTTAACTTCGGCTTGACGTTTCGGATACTTTGTAGCAGCCATGGTCACAGGGAGACATAGAGTTAAACTTAAAAAGCGTAAAATATAGGCAGTATTTAAGAAATTTACAGTTTTCCCACCTTCCCATATTCTCACCAGCCATTTGATATCCAGATTGTGTTGATTTAATATTTTTCACGATAAAGAAGGAGAGATAAGCATGAGATTCACAAAAAAAAATTTCTGACACCCCATGTTGTGCTATCGACCGTTTTTGGACTTAACATGCTGGGCCCGACGAAAAACGAGACCACGACCCGTTGGTTATTAGCCCATGGACAACAAGCTGTCAAATGAAAGATAAAATAAAGAGCACAATTTTGTGGAAATTTTTATTGATTCAATTTGTAAATTGGGCCAAACAGTGTGACAGACGATTATGTTCGTAATATAAAGGAAGATGAGTTCAATTTTAAAGATTACACTTTATATACACTTTAAAAGTTAGGTATACAATTTGAACGAGTACTTGTATGTAAGCCGTGTGCGTTTTCTGCCTTTGGTATACATACTATCTTAAAAGCTAAAAATTATATTATTTTAAATTCAGCGAAGATATAAGGCACAGCAAATTAAATCTTAGTGCTCATTTCAGAGTATTTATATAAGATGACTAGATTTTTGAAGAGGTCTTTACAGTGGAAATTAAACTAGCTAAAACAAACTTAATATTAAACATTCATATAAATATAACGAGAGGGTAGTTATTTTTCTTAATAACTTCCATAGACATATAACTTGTAACAAACTCATATTTTCGAGAGGCATAGAAACTTTTCCTTAATAAAGATACGATTTTACAAAGTTGATAATTTTGCATATTCAAACCCGTTAAAGTCGGAATACAACTTTTCCGACTACGCTTCCTTCATTATATGGAGTTTAGCTTTGTTTTAACAATTTTAAATTGAAACCCAATATTCATTATGTGGAGATTAGGGCGGACACATTTTCGTTTCCGATACCTAAGACGCATTTAACAGTAACAAAACAACGCCTTATTTTTCAATTATCATCATTTAATTATACCAAACATATCAATACATACATATGACATAACGACACAAAATAACGCGAAGTTTAATCGACAATTTGACCGCGAAACGATTTTGGGTTTGCACGCAAATTGATTGTGGTTGAATTATGGACGTATTGAAATATCATCGTATATAAACTTTAGTGCTTTGAAGCAGGTCGAAATGAGGATACAGATTATTAATGTCATATATTAGATAATTACTTAGTTGGGCGATTAAAGCTGACAAAATATCTGTAAAATACTAAAAGTATTTAGGATCTTAGTACAACTTGATCTTAAATTAAATATTGTACTCCACTCCACATTTGGCGATTCCTGACCTTGTATGCATGTTTGATCTTATAGATAGGGAAAATAAAAAGTTATAACACATAACAAATAATTACAGGACTAGGAACACAGAACACGTACAAATCTTACCTAACGTAAGCTTACACAAGACGTAAGCTTTTCAATAATTTTTAAGTTTGATTATTATATTAGGTACATAATTCTTTGTTTAAACCTTTTAGTTTTATAAACCATAGTTTGAAGGTGTAGTACAAAGGCAGCTTGGTTGTAGCTTAAGGATTACCACATTAAAGATAAGTTTGTGGAAAATGTTTAACTACCTGCAAACAGCGGAACTACAAACATATACACATGTATCTATATATCTATATAGGAAGGCTTTCGTATTCAAACTTGTTATTGTTCCAACGTTCGCCGCCGAAAGTTTTTCTCTGAGGAATTCACGTAACACTTACTGTAGTAACATTTTCTTTAAAGTTGGTTTTAATAAAGTTTGTTTTTTTGTTTGATACTATTCATGCAAAATATACAAAATTATTTTTAAAATTTGTCATCGTTTCGATTTTTTTACAATGTAGATGATAGGGATGTATAGAGAATTTTCAAAGACGGTGGGTTTTCTATCGAACATATTCGTTACATCCAGCTTAAAGAAAGCTACAACCATAGAAGAATGAGCAAATGTTTAATAGACAATAATATATTACAGATAATTAAAACGTAACAAAGTGATACATTCAAATGGATTGTATACAATCCTAATTGTTATCACAAACATATCATAGTTTTTCGAGCTGTTCGGCCGACGTGAGCGAGAAGGTCGATGCTCGTGATGGTGAAACTTCGAGAACCTCTTCTCCCCTACGTCGGCCGAACAGCCCGAAAAACTATGATATGCTGAACGATGGCCGAAGCCTTACACAATTTATTGTTAACACAAGCATTACAAAACCGTCGCGTAATCGTTTTTGCAAATTTGGCTTGATTTTTAACTTTAGAAGCAACGTCAACAAATTAAATAGAAAACATATAATTATAAGAGTCAAATAAATAAATCTAGCATATACAAGAATAGAATACTAGCTAATTATTTCTTATAGTCTCGAAATTGTAAATGTAATTTTAAATTATCCTACATTGAGTTCATTAATTTGGATAGAGTATATAGTAGTATGATATTAGTTTTTATCACAGAAGAATGTAGTATGTACGTAATATGCAGTTAAAAACTATTTTACTGTTTAAAACGCAGAAATTAATATTTGCACATATATTTTATTTATTTGTACAACGGCCGGACGCTTTGATCGTTCTGTATTATAATTATACTTCGTATCGTAGTTAAAATAAATCCAATATATGTTTAAATAATAGATTTCACGTTTTAAACCGTTAAAGCGTTTTATTTAAATGTGTAACTTGCGAAAAATACAGTAAAGTATACGCTTTCTAAATTACAATAATATCTTGCTTGTGATATTCTGAAATTTATTATGAGATAACAAGAAATAATTAGAGGTTTCAGAGCCCTGCATAGTTATATAGAATAATAACTATGTGATTCTTAAGTTAAGCTATAATGCATCGTTAATCTTATACGGATGTGATGAATTAAATAAGTGTCGCATATAATTTTCATTTTAAATATTATGCTTTGTATACGGCCAGAGAATAATTTAATTTGATTATAGCCCCGGAGTATAGAGGGAGACCTCGTGTTTTGGAGACAATTTTAGCATCGTTGTCACCATTAATAAGTTAGTAATGGTGGTCAATAACACCCATCAACCTTCGCTGGAATAGCGTAATAGATATATGTAAGTCTTTAGAGCCATTGCGCATTGTCGACCAGTCGACAGTAAGTTACTATGGTTTAAATTAGTGCTTAGGCACTTGGTTGCGGTCGCCCAGGCAACTCGGCGACTCACCGCGTAGTGGCGACTCACACTTAGTCGTCGAGAAACTGTCATGGTTACAGTGCGTAATAGCGCTTATACCCTCTGTCCTATAATAGAGACGACTAGTGTCTAGCACGGGACATTAATAGCGAAGGCTTGCGTACGCGCATTAATAAATTAGTTTTAATAGATTTTCTTTTACAAGATGATCTTCATTTAATTTTGTGATTTGAGCATTATAGACGTCAGTCAGTGTTGTCTTTTTGGTATTTAGATGATACCAATACTTGAAAACTTTAATAATTCTCGCATGATGGCACTGTATAAATATACATCGATTTTAGATTAACGTTATCTCTGTAATTTCATCTTTAGTGATTTTTTAAAGCTGCAAAGCATAAGACATTGAACCTCAATTCGCAAATGTTAGAGTTGAAATTACATAGAGCGAGAGGTGCATGTATTGAACAAAATCGACGATGATGTATAGGACAGGGTAGCTCAATTGGTTAGAGCAACAGCACGGAACGCTGACGATGCCAGTTCAAGTCCTTTCAAATTTATCCAATTCGTACTTATTCAAGCTGTTTCTTGCAAGAATATTAAATCACTATTATTAAACGTTAGTTGGCCCCAAAGTGACGCACGCTTAAAAGAAAAACTATTTAGGAATTTGGCAACAATAGCATTTAAATACCAATAAGATTAACGAGCCTCGACACTGGAAAAATAGAGTTAAATTCAGCCAAGACTTGGCTCCTAATACACCTATCGTGTGTGGAAGACATGTATCCCAAAGCTTTGGTCTGGTTTGAGCACTGTTCAGTAGAGACTCGAGGAAATGTCCTGTGTGCGTGGACCCGCTTGGAGAGAAGGCTGAGCGGTCATCGGCCTATGATCGTCGGCTCGTCGGCCATGGCCAGCTCGTCGGTGGCGGCTTTGTCGCCTTTTCTCTTCCTCGAGTACCAGAGGAAGGATGCAGCTGCGAAGAAATTCACCAAGACCACGAACCAGGCTAGGAAGTAACTTATATGGAAGCTGTGAAATAATAACACTATGTAACAATCACTTTTGAATTAATGACCATTTTTATTGCGTTCTCTCTTGAGTCATCTCGGCCTCTGATGGGGCCACAGAAAACCAGAGTTGGGAAATTAGTCCTAACGTAGCTGAGCGGCTTTCTATTCAGAGGTAACTAAATTATTTTATTTTAAACGTTATATTTACTTCCTCGGACTTATATAATGAATATTTAAATAAAACACTTTAACGGTTTAAAACGCGATATATAAGTTAAACTTATTTGAAAATGATTTTTAACTTCGGCCCGACGTTTCGGATGCTTCGCAGGAGTCTCCCTGTGACCACGGCTGCTGCAAAGCATCCGAAACTTCGGGCCGAAGTTAAAAATCATTTTCAAATAAGTTTAACTAATATATCGCGTTTTAAACCGTTAAAGTGTTGTATTTAAATGTGTACTACTCGCGTAAACCATAGACAGTATTGGTTACACGTCTTTTGAATTGCTATATGGCTGGGGTATTCCATCTTTCGTCAAATGAACCTCTCGTGTCTGCCCTCCTCTATCATAAAAAAAACTTGGTTTTAATACTCACTAATGCGAGGCACGTTCGGGATAAATATATTTAACATTCTTCTTCATGTGGTCCAAAGAAGACATAGTGACTTGTACGACGACAAAGGTGCAAGAGGCTGTAAAGATTATTCTTTTTAGGAATACAGCAGTGTAAGGTTATTACAAAATTTAAAATGGTTTTATCTTTCAAATCTTTGGAAACATGATTTGTGTATTAGTGGTTTTCCTTCAAACTATATATTTTCCAAGATATGGGACACCTGTACTCGTAGGGCAATTGATAGAGCCAAGAAAAACAAAGATATTTTGAATGCAATCAGAGTTCGTTTGTTTAACCTTGTTACAATTTAAATAAATCAAAATACACATTTTGTGATTTATGTATAATTTCGATTATTGAATTTACACAAACTTACTAAAGTACAGAGATTGATTACAACTTCTGTAGTCTCTATAACTGCCTTATCTAAAACCTAATTGTGTTAAACAAAACTACCCATGTTATATGTCATGGATGTGTTTACAGTATATTTATTTGTGAAATCACTTATGCTTCGCTGTACTATAGATAAAATAAATTTATTGGAATACAAGTCACCGCATTATTTGAATTTATTATTCTGATTGATATATTTCCGTATCCGTTTCACAGCTCGATTTTATTTTAAACACAATAGTTATAACACTTTTGTGTCCTCATACTTTGGACTCAAACCCAAAATCTCACGCAGTGTTAAGCAACGCGTTTAACGTTTTAACTTAGCCCATATAGTCGGTTAGCCTATAAAGAGTACCTATAGTTATTTGTAGTTATTTTTATCTGAAACAAAATACTTACTACTTATAAAATGTATCCCCGCCGCCAGTCGTTTGAACATGTACCGCGGATTACGGAAAGTGTAGATTGAAAAGCCACAGCCCATAGCCATCACGAACAAACTTATGATACCAAATGATATCATCGTTCGCACGTAGTCTGGAAAGAAACGTTATTTAAACATTTAAAGTTGTATGTCAGATGTTTTTAGAAGTCGAGTACGAGAATAAAATCGGTTAAGTCACAATAGCTGGTGAATGTACGCCATCTTTATTTTCATTCTAAACTAAATTAATTATAAAACTAAGAAATATACAATTATATTTTAGTATCTCCTTACTAGGCTACTGTTTCTTTTATGTTTTCGAATTAAAGATTTATTTCAGAATACAATTATTGTCTTTCTTTAACAAAGGTGTAATTTTTATACCTTTAGACCTGTAAAACCGTTAATTTACACGAAATAAAAAAAGATGTTAGTATTTAAGTAGAGAGTATTTGTTACCACTGAAAGTATATATAATAGACATAAAAAAAGTAAATTAAAATGTTTATGTTATATAAACTTCAATTCACTTGGAAAACTTTAATATTTTTAACATTTTATTGCACACGACGGCGTTATATAAATTAAAACTCAGTTATTATGGATTGAAAAGAATATATACGAAACCGGGACTAGAACCGGCATCCATAGCGTTCCGATGTGGTAGTCTAACCAACACAGTAGCTCAATTGATTAAAGCAACAGCCCGTCACGTTGTGGATGCCGGTTTGTGTCGCAAAATTAATCTAATATAAAATCAATTTTTAATTTAATTTATTTTTTAACTTCCAACATATTAAGAAAAACATCTACAAATTCACCACAGCTTAAATACACTGCATGCAAATGATAATTACAAAGTTTGTTGTGTATATTCGTTTCGTGAAATGAGCGTAATGTTTTAAATAAGCTCAGCAAAAGCAATTATGGTATTACCCGCCCGGGGCGTCACTGCGCCATGTTTAATTCTGCCCAGCCATTAAGACAATTAAATCTACCACTACCTTTTAGTTTCTTAACTGAAAAACCGATTTTTTCCATCGATTGATGAATAACACACATTTGGTAATGTAAAACTACGAACAGTTAGATTTAAGATGTAATATTGTAATATACCCTCCATAAAGACAGCATAAAAAATGTGCAGAAAAATTGTCACATACAATATTCAACTTAAATGTGCCTCTTTTCAACATTCTTGGCTTTGCTTATGATAAAATTGATCTTTTAAAAACCTTTATACTCTTTACACGATGAAAAAATTTAGGACACGAGCAAGAATTGAACCGGCATCCACAGCGTACCGTTCTGTCGCTCTAACCAATTGAGTATACTGTATAATACTGTCTATAGTTTACGCGAGTAGTAGATATTTAAACAAAACACTTTAACGGTTTAAAACGCGATATATTAGTTAAACTTATTTGACAATTATTTCTAACTACGGCAAGACGATTAGCATGCTTTTCAGCAGCCGTCTCCTCGTGACCACGAAATAGTTTTCAAATAAGTTTAACTAATATATCGCGTTTTAAACCGTTAAAGTGTTTTATGTAAATCTACTTTTAATTTATAAAACTGATGCTTAAATGTTCTAAACAAAGCTGTCAATTTAAATAATTATGGACTACAACCGACTATAGTACTAATTTTACAAATACTGGTCCGTCTTTTATCGCTATCAGCTGTTACCGGTTCCTCTTGCTTGACAGACTTACAGAACAAACTTATCTAGCTTTGATAACGTCAACGTCAACCCTTGTGCTCCCTTATTCAGATCTGTAGGTATTTTGAATGCCTTGTATTTCATTTATTATGTATGTCTGTAATATATGTTAAGATATGGATTTCAACTCGGTCTCAATTTGAGTAACGTTCTCTTTATTTAAACTGATATTTCGGAAATTCTTTCCGTCAAATAATGGGTTATTTTGATAAATGGGGCGTTTGGTTAGTTTGACGGACTCGATCCCCACCGGGGTCAACGTATGTCTAATTTTTCTGAAACATCTTGGACTTCATCTGGAAATCTGAATATTAAATAGGATGTGGTAGGAATATAGAAATCCCGACCGGGTCACGAAACACCGTCCACAGATGAATAGGCCGCAAAGCTTAATCGCGTTTCGGTTTCAGTCTGTGGATTTCCGAATATCCAAAGCCAAATAGATCGACAGCGCACTTGTTCAGATATTATATATATGCATATGATAGGTATATCATCCACTGAACCACATGCTTGTCCATCATTAAAAAAAACACGAAATGATAACAAAGTTAGACATAATAATAGATTATGGTTTGACTTAAGTAAAGTTTAATTTTGCTGAGCTCTCCTATTATGAGTAAGTTTCTACGTTATGCTAATAACAAAGGCGCAAATTTCTTTCAACAAATTTTATATAGACATATATTAAAAATTAAAGTTTTGATTAAAAAAACTCACTCGCTACGTCTATATCGTAGGCAGGGTCCGCTGGTTTTCCATTCTTCATAGTGGGCTGCGCTAAGTAGTTCGTGCAATCTGAAACAAATATAAAATTCAATGAGGGTAGAATAAAAAAAAGTCAGATATTCATACTTTTTCTTTGCGAACATTGTTAAAGATTAATCTCGAAAAGTGAGGGCTATTTTATAAGAGAGAACTTTTTGCGCGGATTTTTTCTCGGAGATGCTTTGTGAGATTCAGAGGTACTCAGATAAAACAAAGGTAAGATTAGCGCCTTCCATTTCCACTTAGTAATGAAATACGTAAATAATTACTTAAAAAATTTCTGACGTTTCTAGAAGAACACTGTTTGTATTTTTGAATGTTAAAATAGATAAAGAACGAAAAGCGTTCTTAATATAATATTTTGGGAAAAATACAGTTCAAAATTCAATGCCTACATTTTCATTTAGGCCTAATAAAAAGTACATATATATCAAAATACAATATTTAGTATATATTTACATCTAATATGTTAGATGTGTTGTCAAAATGATTTAGGAATCATTTCATCAATAACTTAGTGGCTGCAACTTAAGAAAAACTTGTAGGTACAAATTTGTCTTAAGAAGTATATCGAATTTTCTCCTCACTATTTTAGATTTTTGATTCGTCGCTTACTTAAAGGATCAAGAAACGACGACGATCTTGTTCTTCAATTACAGTGATACATGCATATCATAAATCAATGGGTCCCCATCGGATCCAAAATGTTTTTAATCAATTTATATTTTTTTCTGAAATACGGATATATTCATTCTTATAAAAAAATAAATTGCTTATAGTTCAAGAGCCACCGTCAACGAATAAAAGCCGAAGTGAGGTTTCAGTCTGTGGATTCCCGAATATCCAAAGACACAAGAGGTCGACAGTCCTATGGCATCTTGTTCACATGTTGGATGGCCGGGAATTTCACCTTTCATCGAGTGAATTCCATGTTTGTTCTTCTCTATCATAAAAAAAAATAGTAGGCCATGGCTATAAATCGCCTAACAGTAGATAATCTAATAAACATCTATAAATAACAAGTCTCCATATAAACCGACACCAGTGTTTATTACATACAGTTACGAAGCTATAAAATACGGGATTCGATTCCTATACAGATGTTTATTACACGTAATCAATTCGCAATAAATTCTATACTAAAAACATTACGCTTATGAACAATAAAACTAATGGCCCATTGCAAACCGCTTTGAAACTATTTAGAGATCCGATTGATTTCGATGTAATAATTATTATATTTGCTCCCTCGCAATAAAGATGGCGTAATTAAATTTTAATGGTTTCAGAGTAGACCGTAAAATTAATACCGATTAGGCAAGGGGGAAGTCAGTTGCGTCTGTAGAAGTAAACCTTTGTTCTAAGATTACATTATTAATTCATTTTAATGATTCCAAGCCCCTCATTAAAGATGATTGGAATTGTGTATGTTGTACTAAGTTTTTTATGCAAGAAGAGGATAGACAAGCATGGCGATAGATGAAATACTCCTCAAAAAGACATAAACAAGATGTGCTGTCGACTTATTTTAGCGTTGGATATTCGGAGACTGAAATCGAAACGCGATTAAACTTCACGGCATTTCTCTGTCGACGGTGGTTAGCCATCCAAATGGAATTTCGATATCTCATCCATTTAATATCCAGATTTCCAGATAAAGAACATGTTTTAAAAAACTGTATAAATTAATTGGAAAGCCTATATTTATTTAAAGCAACGTTTTGATCATTATTCAATTGGCACACAAATCTCCAAATCCACCTCAAAAGAATCTAAGAAGATCTTCTCGTATTTGCTCGGTAACAATCCATTACTTTTCCTCGGGATTCGAAGTCACCGTTATTAAAATTAACGAACCACAAGTTTAATCACTATAAATCTATGCTAATATTAGAAAGCTGAATAGTTTGAACACGCTAATCTTAGGAAGTACTTGTACGGATAAAAAAATATTTTTAAATTGATTGGAACATTTCATGAGAAAGACTAAGCAACATCTTGCTGAGACCAATAGGCGAGAAGCAACCGAGGGAACTATGAAAAAACCACCGTTGCGCTGCGAAAACGGTTCAAAGAACCAAAAGCTATATATGAAGAATGATTCGTCTTCAAAAAATCTAAATATATTTGCGACAGTATATATGACAATACAATATATCTTTTGAGATTACCGCGCAAGAACGACGTCGTAGCTAATAGTTATAGTTTATAAAGTTGAGGAGGTTGTTTACAAAAATAAATAATATGATGCCCAAAATAATTATTGCACGCGAAGAAAGTCGGGGACACAGCTTGTTATCCGTTAAAAGTGACATAGCAACAGATTTCTTTACTCTAAGACGATTTAAACATGGTAAATTTGCAGTATTACTACTAAAACACACTTTTTCTTAATTTTTTTTAGGTTTTAAAACGAAAAAGGTTTGTCTAAATAAGTAAGAACTTCTTGAAGCTCTTGCAAAAGGAATTCAAAATCTAGTCACGTTAAGTTTCTACTTCGCATTTCCGTTCCGACCTTATCGAATTGCATTTTAAATTAACCAGACAGATAGCATAGCACGATAGTATTTCATACCAAGAATTTTTAGAATCATCGTAGTTTGTGTGGCTCTTGCGACGATATTTTTTATTATTCAACAATTAAACCTCTATCTACATTAAACTTATGTTTAATACTTTAATTACATATGATATTTTCATGTTCATAGACTGTATTGCATTTAACTACTACTTCTGTCGGTATTTCAAATATAAAACTTCTTACTGAAATACTTAACGTATATTTTTTAATAACGTAAGGAAATCAACACGTCTTGGAACGATCTTCTCCGGATCCAACTTCTTTTTAAACAATTTTGTTAACTTAAATTAACTAATGGATTTTATATGGCTTCTCTGTACTCTTCTATTATAAAAAATTGCGTGATGTTCTATGTTTGAGCCGTATTATATAATGCTTAGACGAATTTGCGAGAGTTAACGCAGCAGCGAATCTTACAACACGGCTAATCTATTCCAGTTTACCTTGATAGATTGACACGTTTATTCGAGGAACTTTATCGGATCCATTTATACAAATGGCTATTAATATGTAGTAATTTCTGTTTCGCTGCGTAACTGTACAGAGGCATTGTTTATTTATTTACGTACGTAACGTGTTCAGCTATAGATTTGGCCCGAGGCGACTTGAAAGAACCAATGCGGTATTTTTATCGGTGACTATAAATCTTATTGTGTGGGCAGGGAACTGTTTATTTTTCGTAGATACGCCAGGTTTCCTTAAAGTCGCTGATGTAAAGATGGCATTCATAACTATTGGAACGCAAACGTTAGTAATACTGATAGATTTGATTCGAATTGCCTTTATTTAATTCTATTTCTGAACGAGAGATGGAGTCACATACTGACCGCAGCAGGACCATAATCAATATAATATATCTTTTTTTGAACGTACTAGTCTAGTTGGATATACAATTCACGACCAATAGAACGGAAATAGCAGTGTGAAAAAGAACGAGGAAAATTAATGCATTACTATAAATTTGTCACTCGATAGACGCCTGTTGCTTCTAGATCGTAAGTAGACATTCTCATTCTGAAATATTCACGTTTCTGTGTTCGTCTTTACCGTGCATTTGAGGCTTTTTCCCGGTACAATATTGTAATATGGTACCAGAAGATTCGAATCTTAGATCCCCCGATTTAAGAAAGTGTTGAAATTGTGACGAGTTTAAGTAATTGTATTAGATAACTCATCATCTACAATAGCCACATAAATTTAAACTTGCATAAACTTTAAGATAAAAATATTAGAAGTTTCTTGACTGTTCTTTTTAAACAAGAAACCGTTGAAGATTATGTAAACTTAATTATAAAATTGCAGACGTAGTCCGTACGTAAAAAATGCTTTTAAAGTCATGGAAAATACTGAAGATTTTTAATCTGTACACTATGTACTTTTATTATATAAATATGTTGCTTATAATAGACAGACTATTAAGAATGCATAAGTAACACAATGGCATACCTAAGATCTTAATCGTTCGCTATTAAAACTTCCTGTGCCATTGTCCAAATAAATTAGCAATTTGGCAAACTAAATAATTAATTGGACTATCATGACAACTAAATAAATTGATAAAATTATTTGTATTATTATATGTATATTATAATTATTTGTATGTAAATACTGTTTGTAGTTTATGCGAGTAGTACACATTTGAATAAAACACTTGAACGGTTTAAAACGTGATATATATTAGTTAAAGTTATTTAGAAATTATTTTAACTACGGCCTGACATTTCGGATGCTTTGTGTCTCCCCGAGACCATGAGTGTTGCATCCGAATCCAAATAAGTTTAACTAATCTATATCGCGTTTTAAACCATTAAAGTGTTTTATTTAAATGTGTACTATTCGCGTAAACTACATAGGAACATAGTCTTCGGTTATGTTACCTTAGTATATACAAATTTATATGTATTGTCAAAAATAACATCTTTTTTTTGGCAGGAACATTTTTAAACCTACATTATTTCTCGTTGTTAAGTGTTTTTCAATACACTAAACGAACTATTGAAGCAATACCTTCTCGAATAACAATTACTCTTCAGTTGGCAAGCGTCTCAAATGAGTCAACAATTACTTGTACATTTAATAGTTTTGTTCTCATTAAAATTTACATCCGTTATATAGCCGTCTTATGTGCTTTTGGCGCCAACAGGTTTATAGGTATGTATATGGCGTAGGGTTGTAACATCTTCCTATTGGCATAATAGATCAATTTACGGAAGTTACAAAGTTACAAATCCCGGATCTGGCGAAAAGGTAGTTCGGTATGTAGAATTCTGCTATTTTTATCCCATTAAATGTCTGTAGTTTACGCGAGTAGTACAAATTGAAATAAAACACTTTAACGGTTTAAAACGCGATATATATTAAGTAAACTTATTTGAAAATCATTTTACCTACGGCCCGATGTTTCAAATGCTTCGCAGCAGCCGTGGTCACGGGGAGACTAAAAATGGAG